AGCGGCGCGCTTCCGCCCTTCGACGCAAGGAAGGCAGGGCGGGGCAGGTGAGGGCGGGAGGGGAGGCAGGGACCTGGGAAGACCAGAAACAAGGAGGCGGGAGTGCATGCCACGAAGGCGTGGCAAGGAGGGGTGACCAAGGCGGTGGTGCCAAAGGAGAGTCTGGTGCGACAGGAGGCGACACAAGCAGGGGGCTGCTACCGGACATGACGCGGATACCTGAGCAAACGCAGCTACCTGAGGAGGCTCAGTAGTCAGTGTGTACAGACTCGACCCAGGTCGACGGGTGAACTTGGCCAGGTGACGGCCCGTCCATGTACATGTGCAGATCGACACACGCTGACCCCCAAGGTGTCGATCGACACACGCTGACCCCCAAGGTGGCGATCGACACACGCTGACCCCCAGGAGTGGTGGCAGTGACCATCGCATCCTGGAGGGCAGCGGTACTCACCAAGTTTGTAGAGAACGAGGGGAGGTGAAGACCTGAGAGTGAGCCGGTCGGAACCGCCGGACATGGGAGAACAGTGGAGGAATGTGCAAGAATTGGGCCCCCTGAGGGGTCAGCCAGTCTGACTGGAACAGGTGCAGGGAGTGAAGTGAGTGTGGTGGTGTCGCGAAAGAAACAGCAGGAAGCACCTGAGTCAAGCGTGAAGGTGTTCAAGGCCTCACATGTAAAAGTCACCCTCAGCACTAACAGTCAAGGCATACATGGCAGCAAGGATAGCATCATAGTCAAGAGCAAAGATATCAACACTAGACCTAAGCAGCTCTAGCCAGCGGGGGCGCTCATCCTCGTCGCCAAACCCTGCGCGCCAAGCGTTGTCAAGGCGGGAGAAGCAGCGGTGCTGTGTGTGAAACTTCCCGCATGTCTGACCAGCGCGGTCACCTGTGCGAATGACATACAGGCAGCGAACACTACCCCCAGACGCCCCACGATGAGCAAACCACTCACGAAGCTGCTGGGGCGTAGGGGTCTCGCTCCGACGCTGTTGCTGCTGCCTCTGGCCACCGCCAGAATCTCCCGCCAGAACCGCCACCACTGTCGCCGCCACCACTCCCACTGCCGCCACCACCGCCACCACCACTCCCACCGCTGCCACCACTGCCGCCGCCACCGAAGCCCCCACTCCCGCCACCACTCCCACCGCCACCTCCGCCACCTCCACCGCCACCACCACCACCACCCCCGCTGCCACCGCCACCACTCTTGCCTCCCTTTCCCTTGCCTCTGCGGTGCTTCCCACTAATAGCAGAAGCAGCCCTGACGTCCTCAGTACCAAGGATGTCAACAGCAGCAGCACAAGCGTAGGAGGGGGCAAGGGGGGAGGGGGAACACCCCTCAAAGAAGGGTGTGCGAGGAGTGCCACGAGCAGCACATCCAGCGACTACGCCAGTCTCACCTGCAAGGAGGTGCTTCTTGAGCAGGTCGATAGTGAGGTCTGTGGGGTCAAGTGTGAGAAAGTGGTCCCTGACTGCGCGAAGAGATTCAGGGAGGCGAGTAACCATGAAGTAGAGATTGATCTACATCAGGGGCGGGTGCTTGTCTAGAAACTCTGCAGTGAGGGCAGCGCAGTAGCGAGTGTCGCTAGTGCGAAGGTGGTTGATGAGGTCCTCGACTGTGGCAAAGGCTGACAGCTCTGGAAAAAGGTAGGGAAGTATAAGGCGACCGAGAGCAGTAGTGGCAGGGGAAGAGTAACGAGTGACTATAGCGTCGTACAGGGCTTTAGCAGTCTTGTGCTGGCCAAAGTGAGCGCGTTTGGCTAACGGCAGGTGGTTGAGAACGGCTAAGCGAGCAGCAGCGTCACGGGTAAGCCACTGTGAGCGAGTCGCACTGTCAACTGTGGCAGGAGGGGCGAGAGAGGCTCCAGACGTGTGGTCAAACAACGAAACGCTATCTCTAGAATCGCTCAGTAGGTACAGCTTGTAAGTCGTCGAGCCACGTATCGAACTGGATCGGACGGCCCTCATGATCAAAGGTGAGAACAATGAGAGAAGCTATAGCGGGCAGAGCAGGGTTGCGCGCGACCAGCAGGGCAGCACGCAGTCAAGGACAGCGCGATGGGCAGGGCGGCGCGCGAGCACTAGGGAAGTGCGCAGGGCAGGGCGGGGCGGCACACGGCTAGGGAAGAGCGGCGCGCGGCCAGGGCAGGGCAGCGCAAATGGCAGGGCAGGGCGGCGGCCAGCAGGGCGGCGCGCGGGCAGGGCAGGGCGGTGCGGCAGCCAGCAGGGCGGCGCGCGGGCAGGGCAGGGCGGTGCGGCGGCCAGCAGGGCGGCGCGCAGGCAGGGCAGGGCGGCGCGGCGGCCAGTAGGGCGGTGCGCAGGCAGGGCAGGGCGGCGTGGCGGCCAGCAGGGCGGCGCGCGGGCAGGGCAGGGCGATGCGGCGGCCAGCAGGGCGGCTCGCGGGCAGGGCAGGGCGGCGCGGCTGCCAACAGTGCGGTGCGCGGGTAGGGCAGGGCGGCTTGGCGGCGCGCAGGCAGGGCAGGGCGACGCGGCGGCCAGCAGGGCGACGCGACATGCAGGGGAGGGCGACGCGCTACCAGCAGGGCGGCGCGATGGGCAAGGCAGGGCAGCGCGCGGCCAGCAGGACTGCGCGACAGACAAGGCAGGGCGGCGCGCGGCTGGCAGGGCGACGCGACGGGCAGGGCAGGGCAGCGCTCGGCCCGCAGGGCGGCGCGACGGGCAGGGCAGGGCAGCGCGCGGCCAGCAGGGTGGCGCGACGGGCAGGGCAGGGCAACGCGACTAGTGGGGCAGCGCTACGAGCAGGGAACGATGCGGTGGGCCTTAAAAAAACGGTCCTGGAATAGGACCTGCTCTGATACCATGTCAATAAACTGAACGAGAATGAATGCATTGAGCAGAAAGTTGGTACAAGTACTAACCCTAATTGGGTTGTACCCCTTATGGGCTACCTCACTACAGCCTACACAATATAAGCATCATAACATTTTGACAAAGGTGTGGGTGCGGTTCTAGAAGAGATCGAAGGCTCTGAATACCAAGTGTTACGAGTGCAATTCTCGCTCGCTCGCTCAATTGCACTATCGAAGCAAAAACAGTACAATGAGCGAAGGCATGAGCGAACAATATATAGCAAAGCTAGCGTGGTAACGGTAAAGCGAGAAAACGGAGTGCGCTACGGGCCTAGCGCCGAGATTGGGAAATGTCAAGGCGGAGGTCCGGAGCGCGGGTTACCAACCGAACCGTGGGGTTGGGTCGCGTCGTGAACAGTGGCGGGAGCAGTGGTCGAGGCGAATGTCGTGAGCGGGTAACGTTTCACTGTTGGGTGCTGTTGGCGGGAACAGCCGTGTACGCGGTAAGCAGGGACGTGAAGTAAGGGAAATTATTTTTCCTTGCACAACACGACAAATGAAGTTGCTTTGTCATGAGCAAACTACGGTAAGAGCTTCGGTTTATCTCTAGGAGTTAAGGGCTTATAGTGTATCATGTGATAAAAAAAATTTACGGGGCTGGCTTATAGATGGGTGATTCGCGTTTCATGTTCAGGGCATGATGTGGCACTTGCGCATTTCGCGGGCCTGCCGCGTCAACCGCTTTCTCATGCCCTGGTTTCAACGAATGAAGTGGTCAACGGGCTTCAACAATAGCGCAGGTTCTGTGGAGCGCTGTGGTGTGACCAAGAGGCACGGCGTAACAGTCGCAAGCGCATTTGCGAGTCATTCTGGCGTCGCAGGTTGGGATTGTAACACCTCGCGAAATGACATTGTCCAATCTCCCTGTTGTGAAATGTGGGGGAAATGACGGATCGCCCTGTTTTTAAGTTTCCGATTCCTTTTTGCAGTGGCTTTGACACCGCCTTGCTTTTCCGCTCGTGTCCGATTCCTTGGGGCAGCTGATTTCGACATTTCCAATTTCCTGTGACCAGGAAATTTATGAAGTTTACCTGGTTTTAGTTTAGTGGCCAGTGGAAAATAATAAACCCCTCTCGGATGGCTGGCCATTTGGGAGGCAACCCTAAACACCTAACCTCATGGTGTTTAGGGTTGATGCCTCCCAAATGGCATGCCCTCCTGAGGGGTATTGTTTTTCCCGATCTTCTCGTTAATTGACTTGACAATTTGATTTAGGATAACCCAAAAAATAAACAGAATATTAGTCTCTGGACTCGAAAAGGGGAAATAGCGTAAATTTCTGACTGAAGGTATTGGATGCGAGCGCAAAGCAAGACGGTGTCAAAACCACTGCTGAAAAGAATCGGAAACCCGAAACCAGGGTGGTCCGTCATTCCCTCTGAAATGCGGCTGTGGAACCTGAGCTAAACGCGCAAGTCGCGGATTTGACCTGGCGGGAAATACATCATCCCGCCAAAACTAATCTCATCCTTTCATCCAACCAAGTCAGAAACGCTTACGAGCCGCGTTCCAACCACACTATAAAAAAAAACCCTCCCGTCACTCTCATTGGCATCTCCACCACATTCGATACATTTCACTGGCATTTTAAGTTTTCCTGTCACTCCAGCTCTTCCCGCAATTCGAGCTTTTGTCACTCGCATATTTCCACAGTTTTTTAGCTCGTCGCTACCTAACAAGCGCCTGGAAGCGGATAGCATAATTTCTGCACGATGGGCTGCCCAACGCGATGCACGGCGTTGCCTCTCCTTTTGCTCGCGCTTCTAGCGGCGTCGTTGATTGTAGCGCCAGGTGAGTGTCCCACTTCGGTGCACAACTTTCTGTCCTCCTGGTCATAATTATTCCCAATTCGGTTTTCCGCTTTTCTCCTCCACTATTCAACTTCGTGTTTCTATCATTCTATATTAACTTGCGCTCTTGTCGTGCATTGTCGTTTTGCCTCCTCCGCCCGGTTCTCTGCCTTCACAGAAATCGACCGTTACGAAATTAATAAGCGTGTCCTTTCCACTTGCGCAGGATCCGCGAGGTCCGTTGCTCCGCGCCGCAGTCTTGCTCTTAAGCCCCTATCACTTCTGAAGGCAACAGCAATCAAACCAATTTTGATAACTGTTGATTTGGGCGACGGCAATGAAGTTGATTTGGGCGGCGGCAGTGGCGGAGATTTGGGCGGCGGCAGTGGCGGAGATTTGGGCGGCGGCAGTGGCGGAGATTTGGGCGGCGGCAGTGGCGGAGACCTGGGCGGCGGCAGTGGCGGAGACCTGGGCGGCGGCAGTGGCGGAGACCTGGGCGGCGGCAGTGGCGGAGACCTGGGCGGCGGCAGTGGCGGAGACCTGGGCGGCGGCAGTGGCGGAGACCTGGGCGGCGGCAGTGGCGGAGACCTGGGCGGCGGCAGTGGCGGAGACCTGGGCGGCGGCAGTGGCGGAGACCTGGGCGGCGGCAGTGGCGGAGACCTGGGCGGCGGCAGTGGCGGAGACCTGGGCGGCAGCAGTGGCGGAGACCTGGGCGGCAGCAGTGGCGGAGACCTGGGCGGCGGAAGTGGCGGAGATCTGGGCGGCGGCAATGGCGGACAGCAGGGCGGACCCGGCGGACAGCAGGGCGGACTGTTGGTGCAACCCTACGGTTTGCACTCGGCTTGTTGTCCGTGTGCGTGAATGTGTGTGTGTATGGAATGGTATGAGGGCATGGGATAATATATATTTCATGCTTATAATTGTGTGTGAATGTTGAGTCATGATGTCGAGTGTGTGTGTCGAGTCAATAGCGAGTTATCGCTAGACGCGTGTTACGCGGTCGTTTGTGTCTCGCGCGCGGTTTCTATTTTGTCGTGCGCGGTTTCTATTTTGTCCTGTGTCGAACGTTCGGCGTGTCGCAGGTGTGTGCAGCAGACCCATCAAGAACTCAAGGATGAGTTTGTGATGAAGAGCCCGAGCCTTGGTGTCAAGCCTCAAGTGATTTCGAAGCTTGCCAAAAGGGTACACCTCAAGATATTGAAGATAGTTATATTACTTTGTGTAGTGTAACATTTCACTTGGTGTAGGCCCTAGTGAAGGGTAGTTTCGAGACCCTTCGTGGTTGGGGACAGTGTGGCACTGTTCCACATCACTGTACCTCGGCCCTTGGGGTTTGTAGGAGCTGGGAGTCATTCCCAACTCGTAACTCTTCCTATCTTGTGTTCTAAGACTATAGTGGCTGCCATAGTACCGTTCGTTCAAACCGACGCTGTGTCGTCAATTCTTTATCAAATCGTGCAATCTAAATTGATAATTGTAGACGACGTGAAGACGCTCCAGATCCAATTTGAATCAAGTCATTTGCAGCTGTGAGCAGAACGCTATCAACGTTTGAAGCCGCTGTGCAGAAATCCGTCTGTGCTCTCTATCTTTCGTTTTAGGCACATTCAAGCCTATTGTGACTATAACACGGACCCGGCGGAGAGCAGGGCGGACCCGGGGGCCAGCAGGGCGGACCCGGGGGGCAGCAGGGCGGACCCGGCGGACAGCAGGGCGGACCCGGCGGACAGCAGGGCGGACCCGGCGGACAGCAGGGCGGATCCGGCGGACAGCAGTGCGGACCCGGCGGACAGCAGGGCGGACCCGGCGGACAGCAGGGCGGACCCGGCGGACAGCAGGGCGGACCCGGCGGACAGCAGGGCGGACCCGGCGGACAGCAGGGCGGCCAGGGCGGACCGCCGCAGCAGGGCGGACAGCAGGGCGGCCAGCAAGGCGGACAGGGAGGACCGCCGCAGCAGGGCGGACAGGGCGGACCGCCGCAGCAGGGCGAACAGCAGGGCGGACAGCAGGGCGGACAGGGCAGACCGTCGCAGCAGGGCGGACAGGGCGGACCGTCGCAGCAGGGCGGACAAGGCGGACCGCCGCAGCAGGGCGGACAGCAGGGCGGACAGGGCGGACAGCAGGGCGGCCAGCAAGGCGGACAGGGAGGACCGCCGCAGCAGGGCGGACAGGGCGGACCGCCGCAGCAGGGCGGAGAGCAGGGCGGACAGGGCAGACCGTCGCAGCAGGGCGGACAGGACGGACCGTCGCAGCAGGGCGGACAAGGCGGACCGCCGCAGCAGGGCGGACAGCAGGGCGGACAGCAGGGCGGACAGCAGGGCGGACAGGGCGGACAGCAGGGCGGCCAGCAAAGCGTACAGGGCGGACAGCAGGGCGGCCAGCAAGGCGGACAGGGCGGACCGCCGCAGCAGGGCGGACAGGGCGGACCGTCGCAGCAGGGCGGACAGCAGGGCGGACAGGGCGGACCGCCGCAGCAGGGCGGACAGGGCAGACCGCCGCAGCAGGGCGGACAGCAGAGCGGACAGCAGGGCGGACAGCAGGGCGGCCAGCAAGGCGGACAAGGCGGCCCGCCGCAGCAGGGCGGACAGCACGGCGGACAGGGCGGACCGCCACAGCAGGGCGGACAGCAGGGCGGACAGGGAAGACCGTCGCAGCAGGGCGGACCGCCGCAGGAAGGTCAGCAGGGCGGATCCAGTGGACAGCAGGGCGGACAGGGCGGACCGCCGCAGGAAGGTCAGCAGGGCGGATCCAGTGGACAGCAGGGCGGACAGCAGGGGGGTGGTGGCGGAGATCAAGGGGGTGCTGGCGGGGATCAGGGTGGAGCAGGCAGTTCGAGCGTCGCCACTGCTCAGAGTGTGAGAGGCAGTGCGATCAATACAACAAGTGCCAAGGGTGGAAAGGGAGGCAAGGGCGGCAAGGGCGGAAAGGGAGGAAAGGGGGGGAAGGGTGGCAAGGGAGGAAAGAAGTGAAAAAGCTATTAGGACCCCTTCGGTTTCTGTTAGATGCTTTCAAGCCCTGCTTTGTGTGAGTGCCTGTAGAGAACGCTTTGTTGTATCATCCTATGTTGTAACATTTTTGTTTGATGCATATTTTGTCTGTTTTTATCGAGCAAGTTGCCCATCATTCTGTAAAACAACGCATCCTCCACCCGGGTAACAAACATTTTGATTGTACCTACAGTAATTGAATGGCGAAACTGTCCCCAATGGGTCATGCCTTACAAGGCCCGAGCAGGATTGCTGGCTGTGCTGGCCTGTGAGACTCAGCTGCTCTTTGTCCCAATACTGTGTGCGTGGTAATTGCTGCTCTTTGGTGATACTAGGCAGGGCTGCCTGGTTGCAGCTGCTGAGCTGAGCTATTGGTGAAAGCATAAGGGGATGTCTTGGCTGTTCACTTCATGTACAGTAGTTACCTTTTTTGAGGTGCATGAAGTGGAGTTCAGTTGATAAAAGGTTACTGTAAGGAAAATCCCTTTTCCTTACTTCCCGTCCCTACTAAGCGCGTACACCACTGTTCCCGCCAACAGCACCCCACAAAAATCCGTTACCACTCGCGACATTCGCCTCGACCCCGTTCCTGCCACTGTTCACGATGCGACCCAACCTCACGGTTCGGTTGGTAACCCGCGCTCCGGACCTCTGCCTCGACATCCCCCAACCTCGCACCAGGCCCGTCGCGCACCCCATTTTCCACACGTTACCGTTACCTCTGTAGCTTCGCTATATATTCTTCGCTCAATCCTTCGCTCATTGTATTCTTGTCTCGATAGTGCAATCCTCGCTCGCTCACTCAATTGCACTCGTAACACTTGGTTATCAGAGCCTACGATCTTCTCTCGGACCGCACCACACCTTCGCTTCCCCACTATCTCATTTTTTTTGGGGGGGTAGACGTCTCTCAGCGACCAAGCACCGCCGCTCGTAGTGCTCTCTCGTAAGCACGCACGGCCACGACCGAGGCTCTCACTGAGCTTGCCCGACACCCCCGCCATGGCTGAAATAACTCTCGCGACACTGGCGCAAACGCAGCTCGACCGTCTTATACGCCAACTCGAAGATTCGGCCCTCGAAATCGCCACACTCACGGCGGAACGCGACTCCGCTCGCCAGCAGCCGACAGTGAATGCACCAGCACCAACAAATGCACCTGCACAATCCGAGGAGCCTATCATCATCTCGTCAGGCACACCGACACAGAACGACAGCGTGGGACAGCGCTCAGGCGTAGCCAGTGAGGGCGCCGCTCACTCAATGCCTGGCATGGAGAGAAATAGGGCCGCACCAAGCCCGCGGGAGCCCCGCGAAGCCCGTCGGCACGTGGAATTTGCGGCGACAAGTGGTGAATACGCCATCACGGCACCAATGCCACTCAAGCCGCAGCGTCCGCCCTGTTTCGACCCGAACCAACGTGGGGGTCCGACGGTTCAGTCGTGGGTCTTCACGATGAATGTTTTCTTCTACGCGAACTACGTCGAGTCGGACGCAGCGAAGATTCGCTATGTTGTTTCGCTGCTGAGGGGCCCTGCCATGGACTGGTGGCAAGTCATCGTGACGTCGCCATGCGCCTACGAGCCACCGTCGCAAGAAGACGGGCCCACGGGCCCAGCCGTCACCTGGAGTTCATTCTGCGAGACAGCCCAGTACAGCACGTGGGATGCGTGGTGCGCAGAGCTTCGGGCGCATTTCGAGTCGATTGCGACTTCGATTTCGGCGCGTCAGAAGCTACGCACTTGGCGGCAGCTCGGATCGGTTCAAGACTACACGAGCGGGTTTCTCGCATTATGCGAACAAGTCGGCTATATGCACGAAGCGGAGCGGGTGGACCGTTACGTCGGAGGGCTAAAGCCGGACATCTCGCACGAAATCATGCTACGCGGGCTCTCGAATTTCAACGAGATCCTCGCGCTCGCCGAGAAAATCGACATCCTACGACGACCGAGACCGGGGTCCTACTATGGACAACGTCCTCGGGGACCAATCGAGCACGCCACCGTACACGCCGTTGCGACAAATGCAGCTGCCGCACCGTTTAAGGGGCGCTGCTTTGCTTGCAACAGGCCGGGCCATCGCAAGAGTGAATGCCCAGAGGAGCTGAGGCGCTGCGGAACAGAGCAGGGGCGAGAGTCTCAGAGGCCGACAAATGCCAGCAGTCAGTAGAAGTTGGGCCAACTACTAACGAGACTGCCTGCTCGCCCAACTTCACCGACCCTCACCGAGTCACAGTATCGATTCACGCTATCAATCGGGCTCGGACGAATAAGGAGGGTACAGCGACGGATTGCCCAGTACTGATCCACGGAAAAATATAGGGAGCAACAGTGAAGATCTTTATAGACGGAGGCGCAAGTCGCAGCTTACTTAACACCGCAACTGCAAGAAAGATGCAACTGGAACTTAGTTGGTGTTTACCGGAGATAGATGCACTCTTAGTTGACGGAACGCCGCTGGCCATACGGGAAAAAGTGGAGAGAGTAAAAGTCCGCTGTGGGGGGAACTTCGGGTTTACACAAGGAATGATCGCGACGACATTGGATGGGCACGACATTTTACTGGGACGTGATTGGCTGCGACGATACAACCCGCGAATTGACTGGACGTCGGGTAGCTGCACTGTGCGAAGAAGCGGTAACTGGGTTGAGCTACCTCGCTGGTAGTCGCTTGAGCCCTCTACGGTCCACGTCAACGCCATCACAATGAAACGGGTTGTCGCCGCTGGAGTTGACGTGTACGTGGTGGATATCGCAATGGTGGAAGAAACAGAGCAGCCGAGCGATTTTCAGAAACTTCTGGCGGCAGTACCACCCGAACTACAAGAACTGTTAACAAAGTTCCCAGGGATTTTTCCCGACGACTTACCGTAGGGACTGCCACCTCAGCGGGCGCATGATCACCGAATAGAATTAGAACCCGGGGCACAACCAACAGTACAGCGATAGTTCAGATTGACACAGCCCGAGCTTGATGAACTAAGGAAGCAGTTAGATTACCTGTTAGAGAAAAATTCATCCGACCAAGCTCGTCGCCATTCGCCGCACCGATCCTGTTCACACCGAAAAAGGACGGAGGGTTTCGCATGTGCATCGACTACAGAGCACTGAACAGGGTTACAGTCAAATCGCGATACCTCATTCCCCGCACCGACGAACTGATAGATCAAATGCGAACAGCACGGGTCTTTTCAAAAATCGACTTACGCGGAGGTTACCATCAGATTCGGGTCGAACCATCGGATTGCGCCAAGACAGCATTTAGGACTAGGTACGGGTCATTCGAGTATACAGTGATGCCTTTCGGGCTGACCAACACACCGGCAAGATGACCATGAACGAGGCATTTAGACCACTCTTAGATAAATGTGTGATAATTTACCTCGACGACATTCTCGTCTACAGTCGTGACTAGCAGCAGCGCTCAGCCGATTTAGAAGCAGTATTTACATTTTTAGACAAACACAGACTACTGACCAAGGGTTCCAAGAGCGAGTTCTTCCAGGATAGGCTAGAATTTTTGGGGCACGTTATCTCGGAGGCTGGAGTAGAAATCGACCCCAAAAAACTGGACACGGTAAAAGCGTGGAACCCCCCGACGAACATAACGGAGCTGCAGCGTTTTTTAGGATTCGTTAATTATGTGCGTCGGTTCATCCCCGACATGGCACGCTTAACTGCCCCGCTGACGGACCTACTGCGGAAGGGGGTCGCTTTTACGTGGGGGGAGAAAGAGCATGCTGCCTTCTCTACCCTGAAAAATGTTCTCTGTTCACCACCCGTACTGCGCATCGCCGACCCACACCGCCCATTCGAAGTGGTTACCGACGCAAGCGACGTCGCCATTGGAGCCGTACTGCTACAGGATTTCGGCAACGGTTTACAGCCCATCGCATACGATTCACGAAAGCTGCATCCGCCCGAGAAGAATCACCCGATACACGATCGCGAAATGCTTGCGATCGTGCATGCATTCAAACTGTGGCGCTATTACTTGACCGGCGCCGACGTGACAGTACGGACAGACCATAAATCCCTACAGTACCTCCGCGCATAGCCCCACCTCAACCCACGACAAATTCGCTGGCTCGACTACCTCGAGTCAAATTTACACTACACGGTCACCTACAAAAAGGGGGCATCGAACATCGCCGACGCATTAACCCGACCCATTGCCCAACTCCACGCCATACTACTCGCCCAGACCAGCCCACTACTGACAGGACTATTTACCCACGGTTATCAGACTGACCCATTCTTCACAGGCGGAAATTCGCAGCAGCAAGAGGAGTCTATTACGTAAAAGCCGGCACTGATCGAATCTGGGTACCGGGCTACACACTACTAAGGGAATTGCTGCTACAAGAGGCACACGACGGAGTCACCTCAGGCCATTTTGGAGTAGAAAAAACACGACAACAGCTACAGCAATATTATTACTGGCCCGAAATGCTGACCGATGTGCAGCGACACGTGGCATCGTGTCCCACCTGCCAACTCATGAAATCATCACGGAAGCGGCCGGCAGGGCAGTTGCAGCCGATACCACCCCCAGAGCGTGCTTGGCAGCAGGTGACGATGGACTTCGTCACGGGGTTACCGGCCGGAGCAAGTGGGAACGACGCGATCCTGGTCGTCGTCGATCAACTGACGAAAATGGCACATTTCGCAGCCTGCAAAAAATAGATCACAGCCGAAGAAACGGCCCGCCTCTTCATCTCAACCATCGTTCGATTACACGGGATACCAACGGCAGTCATCAGCGACCGTGACACAAAATTTACCAGCAATTTCTGGCGGAACCGGTGGCAGCAGTTCGGCACGAGACTGCAGTTTAGTTCTTCGTACCACCCCGAAACCGACGGACAGACAGAACGGACAAATCAGACCATGGAACAGTTAATCCGAGCCACGTGCGACGACCCGACCACCTGGGAACAGCAACTGCCACTCATCGAATTCGCGTACAACAACTCGCCATCC